ATAATGTAATTAACTAAAATTTATATATTCTATGTGAGCATATTAGAGATAATGGTACTCAGGGTTTTTGGGTTACAGGTCATAATTGAATATAAAATGGAGTATAATGCATCTTTAGTCAAAAAAATGCGAAGAGCAGGAACATTTAAATTTTGTCAAATTGAGATAGTGGTTAATAATGTTGCATAATTTATATAGTCGTCACTCACTTCAGGAGTTCCGGTATTTTTAACATACATAATTTAGAAAAACCAATGTTTTACACAATTGAGTTTACATAAGGGTTCTACTTTATAAAAGTAATAGATATCGAATGTCTTGTCATTATATAAATATCGTGTAATTGTACTTTACAATTGAAACAATTATTGGCCTCATATGTACGGAAGGGTCTTAACGAAAGTTTTAAAGCGACGAACTGCAAGTAAACGATTTGAAGTAGATATAAAAATAAGAATATAACTCGGAAGGCAGTTGGGTGATCTTGCTGATATGACTGAAGAGTAGTTAAAGCATTTTTGGCATGGCTTACGTCTCTGATGGAGGAATAAATAACGTAGCAGCACTTAATTGAATGACATATATGTACAATTGAGATTTTTGAAGAGATTTATTTATTGAAGATTTATTGAAGATGAACACTGGACACCGATTGTAGATCTAATGATGATGATGATGCTAGTGATGATGATAAGATATAGTGAACTAAATGGTTTGGTTTAGCATAAATATTTAAATATATTTTACGGACATGAAAATAACATACCATACTCGTATGGTATGTCGTTAGTATCTCACTTTTGATGTAGTATCTATTATATTAAAATCTTAACATTGCTTGAAAAAATCTTTTAAAACTGTATAATCAATCCAATCGATTAACCTCAGGCGCATGTTAGACATTTTTGACGCTGTTTAAAAACAATAGAGCTGTGAAAGATAGATTAATTTATCATTTAATTATTGTATATGACATTAAATAATTATTTAAAACTTTCCTACTATCTTTGTATTTAATTTGAAGTATATATTATTTTTTTGTATACAAATTATAAAATTTTTAGCACGAAATGAACAAAATTCATTGCTTTGCTATATTTTACGTGTTAGCGTATGCAAAAATAAAATATTATTAAATAATTACTTTTCAAAATAAAATAATGGAAATGACGTAATAATAAATTCGCTATTTCAATTATAAGTAATTAATTTCATTTTCATTGCCAAGTTTACTTGCCAGTAATTACACTGCGAACATTGCAAACATGTGCGTTCTATTTGTGTTTATAAGCCAAGCTCAATCAATTGCAAGTCATTGCCATTGAATTGACTTATTGGCTTAGATATTTTTAATGATTTTGATATGTTAACTTGTTCAAACACCGTGGTATAGTAGTTCATATTAATAAATAATAAAAATCACATAAAAAAATAATATATACATATATGTATATGCAAATAAAAATCTTGCAATGTATGTAGTTCGAACTGAACATTAGAGCTTGAGGGGAAATAGTTTAATTTTTAATTAATACTATTTCTGGAATTATAAAAAAAAATAAATTGTTATTATAACTATTATAATTTATTATTATTATAATTTATTTCTATTATTTATTTTTATTATAATTTATTATTATTATAATTTATTATTATTATAATTTATTATTATTATAATTATAATAATAATAATTATTATAATTATCATTATTATAATTATTATAATTTTTTATTATTATAATTTGTAATTATTGTAATTGTTATAATTCATTATTAATATAATATACTATTTTTATAATAAAAATAAAATAAATTTTTTATTTTTTTTTATTTAAATATAAATAACACAAAAATTTATATGGAAAACTCTAATTATAAAAATGTGTGCTCTCACAAATAAATTATTTAGTGCCTAATCGTTCATTAAAAATTAATTTATAAATTTATGTTATGTGTACAACGAGTACTGAAATGTATAGATCAAAGACAGGCTAAGAGGTTCATCAACTCATCGAAAACAGTCTCTAATAGACTTTATAACTGAGCAGATATAACAACTTAACTCTCACCGAAATTAACTGGGCACTGAAGAAAATAAATAAAAATCTAACAATGATTGCTTTGTATTATATTTAGTTGTGCTCAAATGTCTTTGATACGAAAAACATTGATATTGAAATAAAAATTTGTATGTAAATACGGTTTTCTAAAAACTTAATCGACAATTTTTCAAAAAAAATTAATTCAAAACTACTTTGGAAAATTTTTTTCGACTTATTTTCACTTTATTCCTCTATATCTGGGTTAATATTGAAATTGAAGCTATAATATAAATTTTATTGTCTTACCGAGGAGTACCTGTATTTATATGTTACCATTCGAAACAATCATGCAGTGGTTTTCCGTACTCATATGATTGGATAAAATATTATCCAAAATACAACTTCCAAAATAACAAAAACTATCTAAGAAAGTTCTAAAATCATAAAAATCTGAACTCAAGTCATTAATTAAGCAAACACCAGCATATAATGTATATAGTGAAAGGTCTGTTAAGTGAATACTCTAATAACCGGACATTTCTCTTAATTGTGCAATGTTTCAAGACCACAGTTTTAATTTTTTGTACTCGTACCAAGTACATTCTATTTAACTTTTAAATGCATAGAATTGTTGATACTTCAGTATCTCTACAAGAGAGTTTTCACTGTATTCACATATAATATATGAAATAATGGTGCACATAATACGTCATAAGCGTTAGTAATACTCACAAATCATATATCACTTAAAACTTTTTTTTAGTATGGAATTTAAATGTGACTTTTGCTTGAATTATTCTATATTTGTGTAATTACCATTAAAAAATGTGTAATCACTGAGTAATTTGAACCTTAAACTGAAACAATGCTGCTCTGTATACTTCTCTACGAGTTGGTTAGGTTCAAGCTTATAAATATTCTAAGCCTTTAACAAGTTCTATGAATATAAATTAATAACAATTTTTCATTTGTTTTTTTTTATAATATTATTAATTTAAGTATTTAAAAATTCTAATGTTAGCAAAAAATTATAATAGTTATAAATTCATTTTAATGCGTTGCTTTTATTTTATTAATGACCCATATAAACCTGAATTCCAAATAATAAAAGGCGTCAGTCAGCTTATCATATTTGGTTCTGGTATAATCAACTAATTTTTATTCGTTAATTTGAAATTATAATTTCATTGTATTTAGTTAATTTTTACAAAACTTCCGTAATTTATTTTAGCTATTCAACAGAAAGAAAAAAAAAATTTTAATAATAAAACAATAAAATATGGGAGGTTGGTATTATTGGAGGGGAGAAAATTATTCGCTTTTTATATTTTTCAAATTTCTAAAACATTATAAATAATATTTAAAAAATTAGATCATGTGATCAACCTTTTAAACAAAGCATTTTACATTTATTTTTAAAATCTAATATTTCAATAATTTTTATTAAATTGACTTCAAATCATTGAAGACTGACACGTGATGATGACGTTAATACGATCACATTGTAGTAATAACTTATCTTACGTTGTCTTATATACTTCAAATCGAAACAGGTCCTTAAACAGGTTATGAGCACCTGCAGTTATTTGGAGTAACAAATAAAGTAAGCCTTTACTGGGTTTCGGGTCACAGAGGAGTTTTGGAAAATGAACAAGCTGATGAGCTAGCCACAACTGCATCAAAAACTGCTTTCACAGGCCCTCAGTGTTGTGCATTAAACTGGGCCAGTACAAAACAAATTATTAGGGAGAAGACAAATCATATGTGGCTGGAGTACTGGGAAGGCTTCCAGGACTTAGACAAAGCAAAGCACTGATAAAACCGTACTACTACAAAAACATTCTTAAATTCTCAAAATGTAATTTAAGGTTGATAAAGGTTTTTATAACAGGTCATTATGACCTGAAATATCACCTTTATAAACTACTATTATCTGCTAATTCAGAATGCAGATTATGCCTAGAAGAAGCGGAAACTACTATGCATATTTTTTGTGACTGTTCAGCTTTAATAACGCACAGAAGAAACTTGTTACATATGGAATTTCTGTTACCAAAATAGATTAAGAGCTCTTCTCTAGATTTAGTTCTGGACTTTGGTAACAAAGCTTTAAAGGGCTTTGTGCAATAAATAGTGAAATGGGTACAATAGGACCTTTCTGGCCGTAGTACCGGCTGCTGGGCGGGTTCATGTCAATGTTTTAATAATAATAAAAAATACAATGTCGTATCAAATGATTTACCTATGTGAGATTTTCTATAATATTTACATTGATTAAATCGGCTCTACAATATTTCTTTATAAACATAAAAATTATAATAAAATAATTAATTACTAAAATTTTTACTGGTTCTAGTTTTTTATAAGTACTCGTAGTAATCATTCATATTATCTCAGAGAGAGATAAGGGTTAAGATAGATTCTTTTTCAAAGCGCGCTTTTCAAAATGAGCAAAACTGCAAATCAGATACAAAACTATAATTGATAACATTTTTTCTAGAATTGTTGTTTAAATAATTTATAATAATAAACATGGGCAATAACAAACATTGCAAAATATTGTAAATATTTTGTTGTTTGTTGTTTTTACTTTCCTTGTGTTAATTGTTTTGTTTTAATCCAGTTGTTTTCTTACAACGTAATATTAGAAAATTTGTAATAAAAACAAAAACAAATGACTAAACTAATTATAATACCATTCTAAGAAACTTATATTACATTTCTAATAAATTATAATCAATTTTAACATTAACTAAATTTTGAAAAAACCCTTATATTAACAGTAAAATCTAAAAATTTGTTTATATTGCAAATCCGCTATAAACTGACATACTTAGACTATAAAAAAATTTTTTATATGTAAAGTAATCTAGTAATATAAAGTTATTATAATTTTTGTATTTTCTTTTTTATTAAATATTTTAATTTATTTATAATTTTTTTTTTTGTTTATTTCAGAATTAGCAATCGCTGCCATTTAATATAGGAATTTTAAAATTCCTATCTTAACCTTAAATTTTCTACATTGGTCGAGTATATAAATACTGCAAAGCTGCACCTCATAAATAATCCGTTTGCCATCATGGACGGCTTTGCACACGATTGGCCTACGCCATCACATGCAGATAATGCGCTGCAGATGGACCTAATTGCTGAACTGCATGCCGATTTTGAGCCACAAACTAGAGCAAGATCGAATACGTGGCCTTGCCCAAGACCAGAGAATTTTGTTGAACCACCAGATGAGTTAGATAGCACAAAAGCAAGCAATCAGCAATTAGCTGGTGGAGGTAAGATATTAATATACTATATATATACTACTGTTAATAAATTGTTTTAAATAAATGTCATTCTTAGACCTTACAAGCCCTTATTGCAGTTGTATGAAACAATTTTTTGTAGTTAAGTAATTTGTTAAATTTTCTTCTAGTATAAATAAAATAAGATTTTATTTTACGCATAGCGGAACTTCTTTTCCCACAAGGATGTTATGAACTGTTTCACTTTATATTCCACGATTTTTACTTATAGATTAGATCTTGAAAATTCACATCAAATGCAGTAGTTAAGCGCCATCGTAGAGATTGATAATGTGATGCCACATCCTTTTGCAACAGATCGGATTTATATACAATAATTTCAAAAGAGAATTATCAGATATTGTTGTTGTGTCCTTGGCAGGCTTAGTGACTGAATAGCACTAAGTTGTTTGTGTGTTAACGAATGGTTCCGGGACATAAACTTAACAATTTTTGAAATCAATATTAGTTTATCATTCACTAAGCTTTTTCATTCTTCTAGCAAAAAATAAATGGTACTTCTCTGGAAGTCATCTGGAAATATGGATTGGAAATTGTTTTTATTAGTATCGGTAGTGGTGATGTTAATATACAAATTTAATTATGTTAATGATTAATTTAAAAAGCCCTCTCAAATGAAGCGATTTACTGGCAACAGTGTAAATTTCAAAGAGTTTTTAAAATAAATTATTCTTATAATACCGGAACAGCGAATATTTCATTGAAGAGCAAAGAAAGTATGTGGGTCCATCGAAGTAGCTTTAAATTTCCGATCCCAAAGAAGTTCAAATGATATAACTACTTTCCTCTCTCCGTTGCACACAGCACAAATCACTGAAGGTGAACACATTTCCGTAGTATTGTAAAAATTGTCCTGATCCAACGGATGTCTGAAAACAACCACTGGCTAAACAATTATTTGTCACTCGTAAATATATCTTTTCTCAACTGCAGCTCTACTCCCCCTGACATCTTCCAAAAATTTTCATCTCCAAACATTCACACGCATTTAAACCCTATTAAAATTTATGACTCTTTCAGGTGGTAAGATTTCATTATCTGTACCTAGTGTATTTCCATCCATCTCGTTTTCTTTAATTAAAATAATTTTTACTCCCATATAACTATAAGCTATTCAGTTAAGAGAAATGTTTTCTAAATAATTTGTAGTGAAATTAGAAATACTAATATGAAAACAGGTGCAATTATAATATATATGCAATATTTTATTTACCATTTAATCTATAATTATTAATTTTTGATACATTTTTAGATTCACAACAAGCCGTGCCAAATGTAAATGCTGCAAAAAAGAATTCATCTCGTCGTAATGCATGGGGAAATCTCTCCTATGCGGATCTCATAACGCACGCTATTGGTTCAGCACCTGATAAAAGATTAACATTAAGTCAAATATATGAATGGATGGTGCAAAATGTGCCTTACTTTAAAGACAAAGGTGATTCAAATAGTAGTGCTGGCTGGAAGGTAAGAATATTATATTACTTATTACATTAAAAATTGCGATTTCTAGTTTTGGTTAGAAATTGGATTTAGTTTTAAATCTAAACTGAAAATTTTATGCTTATGTGAGTTTATCAATACAATAATGTGGACTATAGTAAGTCCAATTTATTTTGATGATAGTGATAAATAGAAACTTCCAATTGTCTACAGAAATAAGGCTTTTAATATACAAATTCTCAACTATAAGTTTTATTAAATTGTTAAGAATTGTTAAGAAACAAATCTATTAAGCCATGTTCCTGCACACGTATAAATATCCTATTGTAGCCTATGCAACTTTAGTATAGACCCCACTACTTTGCAAGACCCATGGAAATAATATTCAATTATTTCAAAACACGGGTATCCGGATTGCTACCGGCTACCATCGCATGTCATATGTTGACTACCTTCGTGCAGAATCTAAAATAAAAATCAACTAAAAGAGAATAATCAACTACTAATTAAACAATATCTATTATTTGAATGGGATTTTCTTTAGTAGAGTCTGACTTCCTAGATGCACCCGTCGATTGTTTTTTTTAAATTATGTTTACATGATAACTGATTGCCATGGTAGCAACAACAAAGCATTCAAATAGAAACATAAACTAACAGACTTTCACATCGATGCAGTTTTCTCTTTGAGACCAAAGTTGCATAGAAACGAAGATCTCCGACTTATATCTCCCAGGAAGCATAAACTGTCATAATCTAATTCAGATCAGACTATAGCCATGTGGGCTAAACAGTCATTTCCTCATCCGCTCCTTACTCTAAACAACAGTTCTTCTTTTAACTCTACTCTCACCTAACCATGTTTTAGCCCATTTATTTATATTTGAAATTCATTTCATGATTCCTGTTAAATTAATCCCCACGGGGCTGTCTATTTGTACGACAGTCTACTTCTTTAGTATTTTAGTTTTTGAGCTAATCTAATAGAATTTTGTACATTAGTTTTTATTAAAATGGTGCCTAATAGTCCTTCTTTGACATGACTGTATTCTAAGACGATGTATAATTATTTTTTTTTTCAAAAACTAATAGGTCATATATCTGAAACCTGTTATACCTAATCTATAATGTAACAATTTAATTTCTATTGCATCTAATAATATTTTTTGTCAATTTAATTTAAACATTTTTGTATCTTTAATGTATGAATATCAAGTACACGTGTACCGTACTCAAATTTACTCAAATCAAATATAAAATATATTAATTAAATCTGATTGCATTACTCCCCATTCGTCTATCTAACCAACACTCCTTTGCGGCTATGATTGTCAATGAATATTTAATTGCTTTAGGCTGTTCAACGTCGTATATTTTATTATATAATAAAATAATTGAAGTATATGTTGTGTCAATTACAATATAATGATTATTTGTCGTAAATCGGGTCCCCAGAAAATATATTAAAAGTCATATCAACTGCGAAATATCACTGTGATTTCAATTCCAAATAGTGGAAGTGGCATTTACAATACAAAAAAAAAAAATAATAAAAATAAAAATAAAAACTGGTTACTTTACAGCAGCAACGACGAGTTGAAATACCACAGAACTAGCAGCGATTAGTTGCAGGCAGTCCTACTATTCGCTATTCAAGAGCTCCGGAGGGGTAAGACGTTAGGCGACACTAAGCAGGCCGCATTTTTAAATTGAAAGTAGCTTGAATTGTGGCATAAAGACCTGTTAAACCGTTAAGCTGCACAATAATTCAAAATTTAATTAAGGCACTTTAAGTGTGTCTTCGTTTGACTGTCGGTCCAGTCATGCAACCGTCCATCCCTTCATCCGCTCGTCTATCTAACAGCTGGTCTATTAGCTGCTTTTTGCGTGTATTATTTTACGTTGCTGCGTCTGTTGTTTATAAACTGACTCGCATCTCTCCCCTCGTCTCGTTCGCTTTATGCGGATATACATACTTGCAGTTTTCAGCTTGCAATTTGCACTTTGCGGTTTGTTTATTTGTTGCTTTGCCATTTAATTTGCAAAGTTTTTTTGCATTTTGTTTGTTGCTGTTTCCTTGTTTTTATTTGTTTACATTTTTTGTGTGTTGTTGCCACATTTTTTATTTTTTATTTTTTACATTTTTGTTTTTTTTTTTTTGTTTTGTTTTTTACTTCAACTTAATTTGTGTTGTTATTATTATCGTTGCTGTTTTGCAAGTCAAGTTCACGGCCATTGCTTTTGGCTTAGTTCTTTTATTATTACGAATTTGATTTTATTTTCATTGTGTTATTTTTTGCTGTAGTCACTTTTAATTTTTTTTTTTTTTAATTTATGTTGTATCATTTGTTTACATTTATTATAAACAAACAATAAATAAAGAAACTTCAACTTGAATGTTGTAGTGTTTCACTTACAAATTATGAGTTTTTTCGCTTGGTTAAGAGAGCTTTAAAAAGTTGCATAAAAATATAGAAATTTATGGTTTATTAAGTATTGCTTTTAAATAAGCAAAATACAGGGTCTTTGCTTACTCTTATTGGTTTAAATGAAGTGGACAATGCGGCGTGGTGGAATAATTGAAGGATTTGTATCGGAGAATGTTGGGTCCATTTTATATACCATATTTACCGAGAAACAGTGTGTCGAATGTCTATTTGACAAACTCTCAGTCAAAAACTGAAACTTTTACTTCTTAAAAATGGTTTATTTATATATTTTGTTCCGGGTCACTTTTAAGTCTACACTAGATGAGCTAAGTGCGTTTTGTTTAATACTTATAACTTGAACAATAGTAATGAAATTTAACAATTAAAAATAAAATATAATTTAATTATTCTTCAGCTGATTTATGATTTCGTTCTATTATAAAACAGCAAAACCAATTTGTTAATAAAAACTTTCACAGCAAAATTAACAAAACTCTAAAAAATGTACGAACATAAAAGTCAAGAACGGCTTTGGGTCACTTGGCTAATGAACGCTGACTCTGAGCTTCAAATTTGGCAGGATACAAGTTCGATTCTTGTTACTTGCAGCCTCAAAAAATTATTTACTAATAATTAAATATAAGAATTATTTTCAAGACCACTGATGATGGGTATTTAGCAATACTCGAAACAGCTGTATGGTTAGCCAAAAATTCCATTAATTAGAATAATATAAAAAAGAGTTATTAAAATTATTAAAATTTTAATCTTTATTAAAATTTTTCTTTTTACTCGATTCATACATATTCGGGTAGACTTTTTGTTGATATTATGTATTTTAATTGATATTTAAAATCGACAATCTCTTCCATATCGTTTTTGTTGTGTCTCTGATTGAGAAATCATTGCATATATGTTATTTATTTAAAGAATATTTTATATTTCCCAATATATGTTATGTATGTGCATTTCAAATTTTAATGACTTTCATTTTCATTCACACAAAGTAATAAAAATTTAATCATGTATCTTGAAGAAGCAGTAAATGACGAATTACTAATTTCGTAGATAATATCGAAATGTATAGATAATGTTTTCCTATTCATTTTGTTATATCGTTAGATCGTGTAGAGATTGAACGTAAAAAAATTTCAATTTTGTATATTTTAATCAAGATTTTAAGTAACATTAATAAATAAGACTACACTATTGATAAAAACTTTAACAATTTCATAATTAAAAGTAGAAAAAATTTTAGGATTGTTGTATCCAAGGGTGTTGAGATATGAAAGATCTTAAAATAGCAAGGTGTGGAAGAAGAAAACTGTAATTGGGAAAATTTATTTTTAATTGTACTTGTGCTTATTAACTTATATGCACTTAAATTCTTATGGATATAATTATATGCGTTTAATTTTTTAATCAAATAATTATGTTTAATTAATATATGCTTAATTTCATATCAAAACGAAGCACTAATGCTTAAGCACTTAAAATAAAACACAGCAAATATTTAAAACTGTTAATATATTTATATAAAGATTTCTGAGGTTTGTTTTAAAGGGGATTTGAAAAATTTCTATCAAATATTAGGAGGGGGAAAAATATGATTATTAAATCTTTTGGAGTTGATAAATTTTTTTTTCTATTATTTTTTTAAATTTAAAAAACTTATTTTGAAAGAATATATTTACAAAATCAAAATATGATACTCTTAGTTGAGGAATCTTTTTATGTGTTATTATCAATTCCGGCTTATTAAGACTTAATAATTATTTAAAATTTATTTTATTTGTTATTTAATATTTTTTATTTATTATTTTCTTCAATTTTTTTTCTGTTTTTTTTTTGTTTTGTAATTTTTTTTTTAATTTAATCTTCAATTCTTTTTTTCAATTTTTTTATTTTAATTTTCTTATTTTAATTTTTTTTTGTAATTTCTTTTCATTGTTTTGAATTTTATTTTTTTGATATTTTAATTTTCTTTTTTTTTGTTTTTATATTTTTTTTTGTTTTTATTTTGTCTTTTTTCCTTTTTATTTAAATGTTTTTGTATTCTTTCATTGATGGCTATTATATAAAGGTAGGTCATTTGAACTTTGCCAAGGCTACTTAGATAATTAATTTATTATTGATTATGATTATAATGTGATAAATTCAGACATATATAAATAAGACCGCACTTTAACCTATTTTTACTTTTTTTCCTTCAAAATTAAAATGATAAAATATTTTATTGTGGTATTAGTGTAAAAAAAAGTACGGCTAATAAAGCTTATATATAAGTATTGAACGCCGATAAGTGAATATATGATAAGCTGATAACAGCAGTCGACATTAAAATTTAAATACTTTAGAAGTGCTTGATTCAATACACTAAAATTCGACTACATAACTAGATATGTATTTAGTTTAAATAAATTAAAGAATCACATTTGTCAATCTTAAATGTTTTCTAGCTTAAAATATTTCAATCATTTTTGTACAGTATAAACTATCCTTTTTTTTTCTTTTATCTAATTTATAACTTTTAATGACATTCATTAGAAAAAGCATATATAATGATGTATTGTATTTCTGTATACAAATGTATAC